CCGTAAGTTGTATTCGGGGGAAGAAGGTAGTTAGTTCTGAGATCATCCCCCTCTAGGCTGGGGTCGATGTTGACAGTCCTCGTGACAGAGGACTCGCTGGCCACTGGGAAGCTCACCTCATGTGCACTGTCCAACCGTCCAAACAACAAAACAGGTTGTTGGATTCCGAAAAAAAAAAAAAAAAAAAAAAAAAAAAAAAAAAAAGGTGGTTGGATTGGATTGGACTGAACACAACAACTCGCCATAATTAGCGAGATGTGAGAACAAGTTTTTCCAGCCCAGCTGAAGCTGCGCAGTGGGCCCTGGGCAACCTTTCTGTGTAGAACGCATCCCCACCTGACCCTAAAGCTGGGCTGTATACATTCACGATTTCCCTCAAGGACCCAGATCCTCGACTTCAATCCATTCACGATTTTGCTCGGTTTGACACAACACTCGCGAAATCGTGACTGACTGAAACGATTTTCCTCGGTTTGACACAACACTCGCGAAATCGTGACTGAAACGCATTTTCAAACTGAAACCGTGACAGCGCCTTAGTTTTCCCAAAAATCATGATACTTATCTGATCCGTGGTCCATCGGACCACACAATGAAAAAAAGAAAAAAAAATAGTGAAAAAGGGGATGGGGGAGGATTAGCTCCATGCATCAATGTGGGGATGCCTAATGAATCATTGAAATGGACCTTCCAGGAAAAAGATTTGACTGGCTGGGAGCAAACCAAAAACAGCCGGGTGCAGTGAACCTAAGGCAGGGGTGCACAGTGAGGGCCTGGTTGCACTATGGTCCATCGGCCAAGGTTTTAATGCATCTGGGCAAAGGGAATGTTTAGATCCATTTAGAATCTTGGCGGATGGCAAGTAGTGCACCTAGGGCCTGAGAGTCTTGGCACTTCTGCCGTCCATCAAGGAACTCCCTTTTGCATCCAGCATCCCCACACCCGGACGGAGCCGCAAGATAGCTAATGATCTGCGTGATTGCAGCCGCCAGGGCCCAGCTGCCTTTTGCGCGACTGGACAAGTCACGCCTTAACAGGCGGGTGGCTTTCAGCTTGGCTACGAGGCCCGCCCCTGTCCGAGCAAGTGCTGACATGGCACATACTCTCAGCGGGTCTATTAGGGCGAGATCCAGCTGGCAAAAACGATTGGAATAATTGTCTGAATCTGGACGTGTTTGTGGAGAGGTGCAAAAAGCTGTAATTGATCTGCTTTTCTGCATCTGTTCCTGGAACACGTCCTGATTCAGACACTTGTTCCAATCCTCTTTCCCAGTGGGATCTAGCACTTAGGGCGTCGTTAGACACTCCTTAGCAGTTCCTTGAGCCACAAGGAATTTTCCATGTGGGAATTTTGGGGCGTCGTTCCACGCATCCTTGGGTACGTCCTCCGAGGATGTTTCCTTGGGGCATGCCCGCGGCCATTTTCATACGGAAATGTGTGGCCGCGGGGTCGGTTGTCCGTGGTCCACCATCTATTGTCAGTGTCACGGCGGTGTGGTCCAGCGACGTCTGGCGGGAAAGGGCATCAGGCGGGCCACGCGAGAAATAAACCGGGGGGACCTTGACGTTTGAAATTCGAATTTCGAATGAAGGCAGTGACGACGACAACGATGTGCAGCTGGCGGCGCGAAGACGGTGTAGTGCTGAAACGGGCTCAGCGGCACCATCCCTTCCGCCCACCGCCCACTGTGAGGTCATTGGCATCGTTGGGTGCGTCCATCACCGTCGACCTTCTTCCACGTCGAGTGCGCCGTCGAACACATTTCCGTCGGGAGGAACGCATCCAAAGAAAGGCGGCTGCTTCGTCGAACGTCTTCGGCTTGTTCGTTGGGTGTGGAAGGACGACACATATGGCAGTGGAGAGACGGATCCGTCTGGAGTTCACGGCTATGGAGGGCGGCGGAGAGGGTGGACGTGCAGTGTTGACACCGCTTGAGCAGTCGGCCGTGGCGGCGGCCGTGTCGACCGTTGTTCTTCGATGTCAGCAGGAGAGGGCGCTGGGACGAATGAAGGAGCAGTTGCGTGCACGTAGAAGAAGGACATTGACGCAAGCTCCGGATGATGGCCCCGACTATGTGGCAACCTCGGAGGCTGCCATTCAGTTGTGCTACGCGTTGGGTTGCGGAGTGATTCTGCGAGCGACACCGATGTGGTGGATGAAGCGCAGGATTGGAGGCACGTGGGAAGACCTCAGGCAATGCGACGTGACAGACGACTACTTCCGGGACAAGCTACGCATGTCGCCGCGAGTGTTCCGGGAAATCACGGAGGCATGTGCACTTCATCTTCAGCGGCGGCTGGCGTTCTACAGGGAGCCTTTGCAGCCACACCAGAATGTGGCATATGCACTATACAGGTGGGCATCGGGGGAGACGTACGAGAGCAGCACGTGCAACTTCAGAATTGGCAGAGCTTCTGTCCTGATTGTTGTTTGTGATGTGACTGCCTCACTGCTTCGGGTGTACGGAGAGAAGATTGCCTGGCCGACTGGAGTTCGCAAACTCGTCATTCTGCGGGCGTTCACTAATAAAGGGTTCCCCAATTCCCACTGTTGCATTGACTGCAGTTACATCTACGTGGAAAAAGCCAGCGAACGGCCTGAGTGAAAACTACTATGACAGGAAGCGGTGTTTCTCCAACATCGTGCAGGTTGTCGTCGACCTCGTCTTGCCTGTACTCGATGTGCATATGGGATACCCGGGTAGCTGCCACGCCATCAGGGTGCCCCAGTTGTCCAGTCTGTGGAAGTGTGCAGAGTCAGGGTTGTTGTTCCATGGTCCCCCTGTGACACTCCCGTTGGGGGTGCGGACGAACGGCTACGTTTTGGCGGACAATGGCTACCCCCCTTCAGAATGGATGGTCGTCCCGTATGGAGGCGTAAATCAGCACTTCGACGAGGAGCGGTTTGACAACAAGCAAAGGTGGCGAGGGGACCGGTGGAGAGGGGATTCGGCAGGCTGAAGGGCATGTGGCAGCTGTTTTTGCGGACGCACAAGACGAACTTGGACACGCTGCTGCAGCAGTTCACTGTCGTCTGTATACTGCACAATATTTTGATCGACGCTGGAATTTCATTCGACGAAAATCTGCTATGGGAGGTGGACGCTAATGGTGTGCGACAACGTGTGGACCTCGGGATTCAAGAGCCCTTTCAACCTGTCTCCGTGATTATTTCGACAGACGAAGCGCTGACCCTGCAGAATGCTCTAGCGGAGCGCATGAAACACAAGTGAGTTGTGTTGGCATGCTGGATGGCAGCACTCGTGCAGTCATTGCAGTGCTGGCAGAAAACAGATCCGTGGTTTCGTCCCGCCTTGTACGAAGTGTTTGTGTATGCCTTGGGGATGAAGTCTTTTTAGGATGATTTTTGTTCGTAAGCGTCACAGTGCGTGGTTGTGCACGCCAGTTGTTTAGGCAGCCCGCCAACGGGCGTTTCTGCTGTATGGTGGAGATACGGTGCACTGCGGGGTCTCCTGTGCGCCGTTTTTGTTGACACGTGGCGACCATGGTTCATAGACAGTAGGGTGGATCATGCGGGAAGGGCGATGTTGTCGCCCCTGCATTAAATTATATTGTCGTTTTAAACAAATGGCAGTCAATTTTCTCTTGTCATTGCTTTTCTCGAATCGTAAAATCGGGGAGCAGTGGCGAGGGGTGTTTTGTTGTTCTTCTATTGATTGTTTTTTTTGTGCGAGAGTAATGCAGGGAGAAGAGAAAATGTGGCATTGTATCTTCGAAACAGTTAATGACTTTGAGTTTTTTAGCTCATCGTCATTGTGTGGACTGTCTTTCTTCGATTGTTCAAAAGAAAAAGAAGTTGCTGGTTGCATTATAACAACTACCGAAACCAACAAAATGAATAACAGTCAGATGAAAAAATACGAATATGAAAGGTGTGCATGGGAAGGTGTCAATCATCATTCACTCATGGCAGTGAACACACAAAAAATAGCGGACGCATATTAAAAAAAAGGTATGCAGTTCTGTATTTTCGCAGTAGCGGCTAGGATAGCAACACACAACACGACAATTTAAAAGAACTATGCCCATGCGGAAGTGAACGCCCTAAAAGGTCACTCACCAAATCGCAGGAGCAGCACAGTCGCCAAGTGCACAACAGACGATAAACGATCACAAAGTTTGACCCGTTACGACCACCAACGTCTATACGCGCACCCACACATGTTGGCACGCCAGCGTCTTCCCCATCGATTTCCCTCGTGCCTCGATTCAAACGGATGCTAACATCGACGAGGGGGTTCACACGACCATGTTTCATGGGTTGCTGGCTACTTCAGGCTTAGTGGCGAGCATGTGGTTGATGCGCATGGTGGGAGATGATCTGCGCAGCCATAATGAAGCTTTCTACTTCGCCAAGCTCGTGGCAAAACCTACGCTCGTCTCGTTCATACATCGGTCCTTCGAACATAGACGATCAGTCGTCCGCGCTACGAACGTTGTGACGGAGAGGCTTGGGAAGGCGAACGCAACCTTGGGAGAATACCTGAAGTACATCCCAGAATGGGCACCCTACGACATCGTTTTCGGGTCCGACGCGAGCATATCAGGGTTAGAGGATGCGAAGAGGCCAGATCGGTTGGGCACGGGCCCCCTAGAGGATGAGAACGACGAAGGGGGAAAGCATGACGCGTAGGGCGGCGCCGAGGGTGACACGTAGGGCGCATACGCGATGCATATGATGGTGGCCTCCTGGTAGGCTGCCATGTCGTCGTCTTCAGGCCTGTCCACGATATTAGCCCCCGCGAACCACAATGGCAAGTCCATGCAGAGGTCAATTGTGTGGACGCACACGGCTGCACTGACGATGTTGCTCCACTCCTCGGCGTACCACATAGCAAGCAGAATGCCCGTCGTGACGGACTCCAATGCATACTAGAAAACCAAATTGTAACCTTTAGGGCGGTTCCCGGACTTGGACACCCACCCGTGCAAGACGTGCAAAGCAACATTCTCCATTGCCGCCGCACAGGAGATCGCTTGCCTCAGCTGTGTTGGGCCAGTAATCCTAATCAGCTTTGTGTTGGACTTGGGCATGACGACGCTTCGAGGGACGACAGGCGCTGGAAGACCCCTGGCGATGGCAACAAAATACTCTTGCGTTTCGTGGACGATGTTGTACAGTCTTCGGCTCTCCGTCGTCGTCCTGAATGCTTTGTCATCAACCCACAGTCTAGTGTGGTCGATCAGATCTTTCACAATGACTCCCCTTCATAGCCGGCTCAAAAGCGGGTCGTCATCCTCCCGATCATTTTTGTTCTCGCCAAACTCCACCTCCCGCTCGACTTGCGTGTCCTTTTTTGCCCGTCCAACAGAGGCCACAATGCCAAAAGTACCAGCAGCCGCAGCATCGATTGCCTAGCCCCTAGCTGCGCGCGCATCTGCCTGGACTTCCCCCCGGCTGCCGCGTCCGCGTTCGACAGACCCTCCCCCTTCAATAGGGCTACGCTGACGCAGCGTCGTCGGTGCGACAGGCAGTCTACCCGGAGGTGGCCTTTTCATCATTGGCGCCCCGTGTCCTCAGTGTCGTCGCTGTTGTGCCTTGGGTCACATCGCACGGGCGACGTTGTTCCAACTGGTCGTCATCATCAACGCCGAGATCGACGACGGTCTCCTTCTCTGTCCATATTTCGCGGGCACACATGTGTTGCGCCTCGGGTGGCGGTGCCTCCCTCTTCCTGCCAGCGGTCTGATCAGCAGCACACTGGCGACCACTCTCCCGCACCGGAGACACGGTCACCTCCACCGGTTCTTCCTCCGTCATGAACACGTCGCCGTCGTCGCCTTCTGTTGGTCTCACCCAATCGTGCGCTTCATCGAGGAGGTACGCTTCCTGAAGCACCGTCCGAATGAAACCCTCTTCCCTTTGGGGACATGCCGTCGACCTCTGTCCCGCCCTTCACTGTCCTCCGGAATGCTGTCCCGCTTCCTACCACGGGCTGCAGCTCGCTTAGAAATGGTTTGTGTTGCCCTCTCAAAGTGAGGTTGGCGGTTGGATCACAATAGCGGGGATAGAAGGTTGAGCGGCGAGTGAAGTCCCACTGATCTCGCGAGAACAATGACGATGCCTACCAATGGCGCACGTCGAGGAATGCCTCTGCTGCGACCAAGAAGAAAGGTCGACGACACACAACTGATGTCGTCGTCCATGTGTACAAGAGGAGGATAAGGACCCCTACGAGAGAGCTCCGCGACGGTAAGGCGAGAATAGCGACGACGGTACGGTCCTCAGGAGACCTGATCGTCCCCGTTGGACTGGACCGTCGCGACTGCAAGGGGCCAATTAGTAGGGTCCGGTCCAAACGACACTCGAAACGGACTAAGGGTTCGTGAGATAATCAACTTTGACCGACCGGAAGTGGACCGACATGGCCTCGTAACCTGGTCGGAAAAGGAACAGCCCTAAACAATCATATAAATGAACAGCCAGGCCCTAGTAATTAAGATAGGGTCACGTGCTATTTTTTGCACGGGACAGACTGTTCGTCTCCCGAAGTCGGGCCTGCACCAGCCCCGTGCTAAAATTAGCACAGTTCCACGCTATTTCTTGCGTGGGACTGACTGTTCGTCTACCGGGGACTGGGCCTACGCCAGTCCCGTGCTAAAATTAGCACAGTCCCACGCTATTTTTAGCGTGGGACTGACTGTTCGTCTACCGGGGACTGGGCCTACGCCAGTCCCGTGCTAAAATTAGCACAGTCCCATGCTATTTTTAGCGTGGGACTGACTGTTCGTCTATCGGGGACTGGGCCTAGGCCAGTCCCGTGCTAGAATTAGCACAGTCCCACGCTATTTTTAGCGTCGGACTGACTGTTCGTCTACTGGGGCCTGGGCCTGCGCCAGTCCCGTGCTGAAATTAGCACAGTCCCACGCTATTTTTAGCGTGGAGTTGACTGTTCGTCTTCCGGGGACTGGGCCTGCGCCAATCCCGTGCTGAAATTAGCACAGTCCCACACTATTTTTAGCGTGGGACTGACTGTTCGTCTGCTGGGACTAACCGTTCATATCCCAAGGTCGGGACTGCTGCTATTTTTAGCTCAGGCCCGGTCTAAAGTTTGACCACAGCCCCGACCATGGGACTGCAGCACTCAACCCCGATCACTTGGCCTCTCCATTATAAAAGAGAGGCCACGTCACCTAAAAGAGAGATCGGATCAGACAGACGGAGAGGACGCTCACTTGCGGAATGCAGCAATGCTGGCAGAACAGCAAGTAAGAGAAGCTCTCACTTGCGGAAAGCAGCAATGCTGGCAGAACGACGAGAGATGGGAGACACACGGCTTGGGGTATTGCATGAGCTAAGGAGCGGCGACATGCTGACGCGAGCGCGAGAAGAGTCGGAGCTTTGAGCAAGAGAAGATAGAACCAAGGCAAACAAGGGCAGAGGTAAGGAAAGGGAGGGGCAAGGTTGGCAGGGGAAGGTGTCTCGGGAACCCACCTAGTCACCAGTCCCGTCCGGCTGCTTTCTCTCTGCCCCTCACCTTCCTTTTCCTCTTCCCCTTCTTTCCCCTTTCTTTCTCTCGCTCCTCGCTGCCTCCTTCTTGACCACTTACCTCTCACGTGTCATAATCACTTATTTTATTTTGTTGGCTGAAGGACGCCCATCTGCCTTAGTGAGCTACTCAGCCCGTCCGTGTGCTCTTTGCGCTTTGCTAGGTTCTCAGGTCGGCTATGTGCAGCGTATTTGGACTGTGTATCCGCCCTCGCCATACTTGAGGGCTATACGCGGACTGAGCACTGTATTTGGACTGTGTATCCGCCCTCGCCATACTTGAGGGCTATATGCGGACTGAGCACTGTATTTGGACTGTGTATCCGCCCTCACCATACTTGAGGGCTATACGCGAACTGAGCAC